CAGTTAAGACATGCAAAGTAAAACATTTTTAAAAGAAGAAAATCCTTAAGTCCTCTCTGTTTGTGAAACCAGCGGTTTAACAGAACAATATTAATTCATTTTTTTCTGCTGTTGAATAGTAAAAGGTCTGGGATACCCTGGGAAAACATATTCCTATGGTTTTGTTAAAGCTGAATGCCTCACTATCAGTGGGAAAGACAAAGATCTAAGACCTCTTTGCCTACAGAAAACAACACAGGTTTTTATGCTGGAAAAATGAGGGATTTATTCTTTTCATTTTTCCCTCTCTCTCCCTCCCCCCCTAAAATAAGTTCAGGGTCAGTGTACAATTTCTCCTTTTGTTTCTATTCTAATGCCCATCCATTTTGGGGTGCTTTTATTCCCCAAAAGTCGGTCTGACTCTGATAACATTCTGTGCATTTGAGTCTTTGTTGTAGAAAAAGCTTTGCAGTATGTGTGTGGCTACAAGCGCACATATGCATCTAATGTTAATAGTCTTAAAAAGAAACCTTAGTTTAAGAAGAGTTAAAGGCTGAAAGTAGGTTTTACAATGGAATCCAATTTGCATCCCACCCAAATATTACACTTTCTAAACAAAAATTCTACAAATTAATCAATACCAAATGTTGCAAAGTCTGCAAACGAACCCTTGAGTTCCTCCTCCTCCCGTCCTTTGCACCTCCTGGCTTCTCCCTATACCTTCATGAACCCTGCATCTCTCTGAGCTCCCTAATACTTTGAACCCCTTTCCATGCCCCTATCTGTCTCTCTGGCCTGTGATCCTATCCATGCCCCACTGTGATCTCCTGAATATCTCTGTCCATGCCTCCTTTCATTATTCCCATGCCCTCCCAGTACCCCTCTCTCATTTGCCCCCCTCCCCCCAGTTCGCTACACTCTACTCCTGGCCTGCTACCTCCAGCTCCACTCAGCAGTTACTGCAGCAAAGCCTAGAAAGTGAAGAGGAAGTCAGCTTCTATTAAATGCAGTGTTGTAGCCATGTTTGTCCCAGGATATATGAGAGAGAAGGTAGATGAGATAATATCTTTTGTTGGTCCAACTTCTGTTGGTAAGAGAGAGAAGCTTTCAAGCTCTTCTCTGGTTGGGGAAATAGGCTACTTCACCTTGAATGGTCCCTTGAAATATATGTTAACTACTTATGCTAAACAATCCGTTCCATCTTATATTTAGCTCTGAGTACCTTTCCCAGACATGAAGAAGAGCTTTGTAATTTTGGAGGAATTAGGCCTTGATTCTGCAAAGACTTAAGCCCTTGCTTTATTTTATGCACCTGAGTAGTCCCACTGATGTCAATGACACTATTCAGGCTCATGAAGGTAAGCAAAATGCAAGTTGTTGGAGAACTGGGGCCTTCACGTGTGGCTGTTTAAAAATGAGGCTTAAAGTGGGAATCTAGCTTCAGCCTTACCATTGCTATACATGCCAGCATATTAAAGCAATCATTTAAATGTACAACTCATCTATGTGATAAAAGGGTACCCAGGTCTGTAGTTTAAATGTTGGCAAAACTTTCATTGAAGTCTTAGGAGTTTGTATCTAATCTGTGGATCTGCTCGTTTATGTTGCACCAATCCCTGTGGTATTCAGATGTCAAGGAACGTCCCACGGCCACAGGATTAAACAAATAAAATGTATTTCTAATCAAGCCCCTGTAAAACTGGGAATTCAGTAGGACCCGGAAGGCAGTTAGCAAGTAGGCTGCATTGTTTTACTACTAAAAAGCTAACAGTAAAATATCCTAAGGAAAGCTGCTTGTGGCTGTGGTTTGTCAGGGAGGGAAACAGCAGCAACAGTGGTCATCTGTTTAGCATTTGAGCATGAGCGGAAGCAGGAAAAGGAATGGGCAAGCTATTTTAAACTAATCAGTTCTATCAATAACCTGAAGGTACTTTTAAAAGCTGCAGAGGTAACAGTAGCGCTTGACTCTTCCAGAAGGAAGTTTGCTTTTGTTTCAGAGCTGTCGTTGCTTTAATTTGACACCAAGACATGTTTCCCCTGGAGTATGAGGTATCTTGGGCCTTATCCATTTGGTAAAGAACCGGCCTGCATAATTCCTATGTAGTGAGGAGATTTACTACTTAGGTCAACATGCATCTCCTGGGAGTCAAATAAACACAAGGAGCATTCATTAGGCGTGCTTACTGAATTTAGATTGCATTCACACAACCTGATATGGTAGCCACTGGGGCCATGCTAGTTCAACCAAGGTCGCATAGGGCAACGGGGCAAGCAAAGAGGGCTTTTATCAGCCACAGACTGAACCAATCAATCAATCCAGCTGATCTCAATACCCAATCTAATTGCATGTGGCAGGAGGCTAACTTCAGGGAATGCTTCTGAGTTTACACTAATTCAAACAGTTAAGGTTGAAAAAAAAAGCTAGGCCTCTGTAAAATAGAAAAAAGAAGAGTTTAAGAAAGATAGATCAGAGACACATATGTCATTATGAAAATACATTTGTAATTTTATAATTTACCCTGTCTCTCACCCACACCCACACGTATAGGTGTGAGAGAGTGTTATAAAAACCAGATTTTCATCTAGGAAGTAGTATCTACTCATTAGAGTAGGGGGCGGTGAGACTCCTGGATTCTGTGCCCAACTCTGCCACAGACTTCCTGTGTCACACCTGGGAAATCACTCCGTCTCCTCGGACCTGTCTGCCCCTCTGTGAAATGGATTAATACACAGTGGCCTGAAGTTGTGAAAGTAACTGTTGATTTTCATTTCCTTAGTTAATGAGTACCCAGTTTCTGACATCTCAACGGGGACTGATTCTGAGAGACCGCCTGCTCAGCTCTGAAGCACCCCAGATCAATAACTGCTTGAAAATTGTAGGGCAACAATTATAGATTAGAAGAAAAATATTTTGCACATTGATTTGAGTCGGGTGATATCAGTGCAAAGGACTTTGTGGCCTGGTGAACCAAATCCAGATGTCGATGGAGACACGTGTTTTGACATTATGTCATCAATCTCTCTATCGAGCTTTAGTCGTGATTGGTGTAATGGTAATACCTAATGCATTTATGTGTCTACGGAGCTTGGAGATCCCAGGTTAAAAGCAGCGTTCACAGCCTTGCCAACACTCTCAGTTTCCACACTAGTAGGGTTGCGATTTTGGGTCAGGGCTGGAGACTAGCCTCCGGATGAAATGAAGTGCGGCAGCCCCACTTGCCCGCCTCCTGGGGAAGAGCAGCCAGTCAGGACTGGCCCAGCTCTCCCGCCTTCCCTCGGCAGCTGAGAGTAGTTTTTGAGCAGGAAAGAGGGAGAAGGAGCAGTGGATAACCACTTTCACTGGAGGGGGGAAGAGAGAATTGAAAGATCCCAGCAGCTCTCAGCTTCTCTGCTTTCTCCTCTCCCCTCCCTTTCTGTGCGCAATGGATAAGTCTGCAGTCTCCTCCTCTCCCCTTCCCCTTCCCAACCCCATCCTCACCCCTGCAACACCAGGCCCTGGACGAGAGAAGGGGATACATAACCCCTGGGGCTGCAGGAGCAACAGAGCTAGGGGCTGGGATAGCTGCATAATTCATCACTGGGTTGGGGGAGTGGTAGATGTGGAGGGGTGGGAGGACACAGATTTGATTCAATCAGAAGTTTGGGGAGAAGCTGGAAGCTCTGCACTCTTGGATAGCCAGCGAAAACACATGTAGCCAGGGGCCCAAATCACCTTGCTCTGTAAATCTGGGAGGGTGGGCAGCACTTACATTGGGCTCAGGGGCAGGCAGCAGAAGTCAAAAATCAAGAGACAAACCAAACCCCGCAATTTGATCTTTAAAAAAACCCTCTCAATTTCTGGGTGAATCCCATGACTTGTGGGGCCTGACTCGTGATTTGTGAACTTTGGGAGTTGGCAGTACTGCATCTAGGGTCCAAGTATTGCATAGGGAAAGCAGACTATCAGCATCCATTGTGTGGTTCTCAGAGACATATATAAAGAGGAGAACAATTTTCTTTGCTGATCTTTTCCCCCAACACCTCAAGGTTTCAGCAGCAGTGAGGCATTTCCCTAAACTCATGACACATTGGTGAAAACTCAGAACGTTGCAGGAAGTGGTACTGGTAAGTCAATGGGCAGCATTCTTCCCTTAGCATCATTAAACAATTCGCCCGCATGGCGCTAGGGGCCGCTGCGCTGCGTGAGATGCTGTTTGATGAGACCTAAAAGCGAGATCCTGACCACTCATGGTCACTTTACATCCTTGGAGTCTTCTAATAAAATTAGAGGATATTATCCTATGATGGCCTTGCTAAATAAAAATAGGATAATTACATTCTATCAAAAGCCCCTCTTCTGGTGTCCATTGGCTGAGGTATCATTTACTCTCTATTCTCAACTGTTGGGTAGTGTTGCTATGTGCTATTTAAAGGTTGCCCTCTTCCACGCCAGTGAATGGCAGCTGTACTTCAGCAGAGGATGAAGTGAATCCTGTACATATAATTTGCAATCAGTTTGCAAAGTTTTCTGAATGCTTTGGGATCTATAGCAAGAAAAGCTCTATATAAATTTCAGTGAGTATCATTAGGTGTGTGTGTGTCTATAATGCTGATGGAACACAAGCACCATGAATTACCCAGACCCTGCACATTGCTACCATAGGAACTACATACTTTTTAAAGGATCTGATCCCTGCAAGTCTCATTCATGCTGAGTAGCACTTACTCATGTGAATTTTCCCAGAGTGGTAAATGGCACTGCTTGCTCAGGAAAATGCTATTCAATCTGAGTGAAAGTTGCAGAATCAGAGTCCTTAGGCATTAGCAGAACAGACTCAAAAAGGTGGTAAAACCCACATAACTTATTGGCACAGAAATTGTTTCTTTCTGCCCTGGGGTTGCTGTCACTGACTTTTCATGCTGAAAAATTGTGTGTGTGTGTGCACTAAACCCATTTTTACAAGTTTTATTTTGCTAATATCACATGAGTTCTGATCTTCCCAACGGTGAATCGGAGATACTTTTGTTCTTGTGTGCTGCAGAGGAAAAGGATTTAAAGACCCAACATAAAAAAGAGACTGCCTTTCTGTGGTTTGGGAGCAGCCGCTTGATGTGAAATAATCTTGAAGATGAGGTCCAACGTTTTCTTTTGAAGTAGGTTGACAATGCAACAAGTTGCTGTTGTGGACGGAGACAAGAAAAGCAGGTACTTTTGCTCCCCACGGTGTGCTAAATTTTAGGGGTCAGGACGTCCTGGTTCTTACTTGCCTATGTGGGGGAGTAAGGCCTCCCTTACTGCCCTGCTCAGTTATGACTTCGGCAGGCGAGAAGAAACCTGTTGATGCTCACTTGCCTCTTTTCATTGAGAGCAAGTGGGTGGGGAGGGGTCTGAGAGGAGCAGGGAGCGGGAGGAGCCTTGACTTCAACCCTCTCCCTTTTCTGGCCGTCGCAGTTGACTGGGTGCACAGGGGGAGTATGCCGCTCCATGACATAATGTGAAGCAACATACTGCTTCCCAGAACAAAGGGTGAGCAGGATTAGAATTCCTGCTCTGCTCCTGGGACATTGCAGTGACCGACTGCCCTTTACTTGGGGCAAACTGAAGGGAACAATCTTCTGGACAATATTTGGGTTAAAAAATATAATGGAAAAAATGGCTGGGCCTGGGATATGGTCAGACTGTCACCCAGGACTCTGGGCTCTGGCTTTATGTGGTTGCAAATCACAGACACTAATGAATTTGCAAATGGGGCTCACCAATGCAACAATCGTGCTTTCTATTGACTTCCCTTGCTCCAGGTGAAGCACAGGGAAATCCCTGTGGTTGAGGGATTGGCCTGGAAATGAGGGGATGTGGGTTTGATTCCTAGATATTCCACAGGGCTCCTGTGTGACGTTGGGCAACTCACTCAATCTGTCTATGTCTCAGGTGTAAAATGGAGATGATCATTTCTCCCACCTTTTGTCTATTTTGATTGCATGCTATTGGGTCAGAGATTGCCCGTTACTATATATAGGTACAGAACCTAGCATAAGAGGCTCCTAATCTTGGCTGGAGTCTCTAGGAGCTACTGTAATACAAATTTCAGAGTAGCAGCCGTGTTAGTCTGTATTCGCAAAAAGAAAAGGAGTACTTGTGGCACCTTAGAGACTAACCAATTTATTTGAGCATGAGCTTTCGTGAGCTACAGCCCCAATGTTCTATGTGCTGTCTGAACTCACGAGAAGTTGCTTGCTCTGAAGAATTTACAATCTACTAACACATGCAGCCTATGGAACTGGGGACAGTGGAACACAATAAACTATGTAACATTTTAATAAATTATACACATTTTGTACATTTTTAAACAATGAATCGAACACCTCAGCTATGCCTGGCGTCGCCCTTCAACCTTTCCTTTCTTGTAGGCATAAAAGAAGAGACGGGACGTGGAGGCTAAGTGGGCAGTTGCCATTTTGGATCAGTTTGGCCCTTGGAGATGTTCCATGCAATGTGGGAGAATGTGTGAAGACTGGTGTGGGCTTGGCTGGTGGCTTGTCAAGACTGTCAGCGTTGGTGGAGTTGGGGAGCAAGAGATGTGAAAAGAAACAAGCACAGATAGGTAGGGAGAGGCAGAGCTGTGAAGGCTTTGGAAAGTGAGGATGAGAAGGTGGAATTTAGAATTCCCATCACAAATCTAGGACTGTTTGCAGATGAAGGGCCAGACTCGGATCCCCCTACTCATGGCTGATTTCCATGTCACCACTTGAGGGGAAACTCTTTCGCAAATCAAGTAGAACCTATCAGAATCAGGCCCTAAGAATACTGGGCCAAATTCAGAGCTCAGATAAGCAAGTGAAGCTCCATTGACTTTAGTGGAGTTGGATCGCCTTACACCAGCTCAGAACTTGGCCCAATGGAACCCAAAGCATTCCCTCATTGGTGCCTCTAAGTATTTTCCCATTGGGGAATCTATTGTGTGGATAAAAACTCATCCCCCAGCTTCTCATTCCAAAGGAAAATTATTGTTTCAGGTATTATGCAATAGAGGATACAGGCCTGGTGAAGACAAGGAAATAGCTTGTTGAGTAGGATTAAAGAAGGGTACATAGAGCAGCATACATTTACTAATGTGTCTGTCTCTGCATGTGTTGCAGAAGCTTTGGTGTTTTGATTGCTGCTTGATTTAGACAGCTTTCTGGGTTATGTTACTCTTCTATTTATGTGGCCTAAGAAAGGGAAAAGAGAGGGAGAGGAGCCTTGGGGAGCTGTGACCCTCTTTATTCAAACCTGAACAGTGGCAGGGTCTTTACTTCCAAGAACTCCCTTTGCCTTTCTTCTCGCCATCCAATGAGGGTGCCAAAATAATAGGTCCTCGGAGCTAACAAGGTTGATCATCAAGGAAAGTGCTGTGCCAGTTGCATCCTCGGGCGATGGAAAAATCTTAGTGCTTCATTGAACTACATTGCGATAATAGACATTCTAAAAGGCAAATTTAAAGGGTGATTTCGTAACTGATCTGTGCACAGACCTTTTGTGCCATTCCCTGTTCCCAAAACAACATAGCATGGACCACTGCATAGACTGAGCTCCCTAAATGCCAAATAACACCAAACGTATCACATGTGATTGCAGCAGATGTCTCCAGTGGTGGGTGGCGGGATCGGGATTAATGTTTAATGCTGGGGTAGGGATACAAGGGCACTAAATTATGGAGATTACATTAGTAGGTTAAGAGGATCATTACTACAGAAAGGTCCTGCTGGGACCTTAGCCCTCTCCTTACATGGAGGTGTTAAACAGAACCACCTGCAGTGAATGACAGAGCTGCAGATATAAATAACCACAAACAGGAGGACAGCAAATGCTTCCCAGGAAGCAGAGCAACACAGGATTTTTGGCTGCACTTTGAATATCCACTTTTCTTTTTCAGACACAGATAGCCTGGTGGCTAGGACAAGAAAGTAGGAGTCAGAATTCCTGGGATATATTCCTGCTACGGAGTGTCTGGGTACCCTTGGACAAGTCACTCTACCCTTCCAAGCCTCAGTTTGGGGGAGGGAGGGATAGCTCAGTGGTTTGAGCATTGGCCTGCTAAACCCAGGGTTGTGAGTTCAATCCTTGAGGGGGCCATTTAGGGATCTGGGGCAACTGTGGGGGATTGGTCCTGCTTTGAGCAGGGGGTTGGATGACCTCCTGAGGTCCCTTCCAACCCTGATATTCTATGATTTACTCATCTAGAAAAACGGGTGTGACAATATTTGTGTTTCAGAGTAGCAGCTGTGTTAGTCTGTATCCGCAAAAAGAACAGGAGGAGGTGTGGCACCTTAGAGACTAACGAATTTATTAGAGCATAAGCTTTCGTGGGCTACAGCTCACTTCATGGAATGCATAGAATGGAACATAGAGTAAAAAGATAGATACATACAGAGAGGCTATGTGCCCGCAACTACCACTGAAGTCTCTGGGAGAGGAAGGTGCTCAATACCTTCCAGGAACTCAGAGTCTCCAATGATTAGGCCCACCAAAGGAGCTAGGACAATAGAAACTTGGTCTACTGCACTGATGGCCCCAGTCCTGCAAATTCTTAGTCTTGTGAATAATCCTTAATTAGACTGCAAGCTCTTTGGGTCAGGGGCTGTCATCTGGTTCTGTGTGTGTTACAGCTCCTAGCACAATGGGGGTCCTGCTCTATGCCTGGGGCTCCTAAACACTATTGCAATACAAATAATCAATAACATTAGTCAGAATAATCCCATTGACTTCAGTGGGGGTAGTCCAATGAGTAAGGGTTTGCAGGATGGGGTTCCATGACTGAGAGTGAGTATGGGTGTACCTGATTGAGCAGGACTCTGCACAGGGGAACCCGAAGATACAATGCAGTAGGGAATGAAGCAGTTTAGAATGAACTGAACTCGGTGCAGGGGCCACCGTAGTCTTCTGTTGTGGTGAATAAATACTGTTAAATCTGGGCCTCTGCATGGTATCTTTCTCAGCTAATCCATTTCCAACAATTACACCCAGGAAGCTGACTTCCTAGGAGCTCATGCTCACGCTCACGTTGTAATGAGCTGCCTGTCACCTGCTACAGAACCCAGAGTGGGACATGTCTGGCCAGCAGATATGTTTACACTGGAAGAAGCTATGGCTCAGTGAGCCTCTACAGTGTTCACTCTGACAACAATCACACCAATCGGCAAACTGTGGGCAAGCTATTTTTTAAGGTTAAATTTAATTTTAATGTTTAATTTTCCCAAGTTAGGCCTTTTTTCATTTTAAGATAAATATCCTGTTCCATCTTAAAGGCAGATGAGTTAAGGGGTGATTCATTTGCTCAGGTAGTGCAGGAGGGATCTTCAGTGTGGCTATTTGCAACTCATCTTGGTTTGCTGGTGATATTAGCACTTTGTGAGAAGGAGCATGCTTTCTAACAAAAATGGGTGGATCCAAACTTCCACAAAGTTTAAGGCTGCTCAGAGCTGAGGTTTTGGTTCAGCCTGAACTTTGTACCTGAACTTCTCCAAAACATAAGTTTGAATCTGGAGTTTTGTTTGGGGCCCATCTATGTTTCCAGCAAATCACAAAGCATTTTCCCTCTTTTTAAAGAAGGTAAATTAGGAGAACTATTGGCTAAGCCCCAGCTGCGTTACTCATACCTATAACCTTACTAAGGTCATTGTTCTTTGGGACTCCTGGGATAAGTAAGGCAAGCAGGATTTGGCTCTACTGTTACAACAAATTAAATTAAAAACAAGAGGGTCCAACCTTGCTCCCATTGAAGCTAATGAGAGTTTTGTGTTTGAGTTCATTGGAAAAAAGAACCAAGCATATCGACCTGAATTCCAAATGTATGGTAATGCACTACTGGCTCTGTGGCATTAAAAGTGTAAGTAAGAAAGTTCAATTAAAAAAACCCAATATTTCATGGGATTTTTAAATGCAGCTTTAATTCTACAGCATGGTTTGGTATTTAATATATGTTTCTACTGAGAGGAGAGAGAACACTTACACATTGTTTGCATTATATACAGTGACTTTTTTGTGACTCATTACATACATTTCAAATCCAACAGTATCCAATGACCTGGTATTTAGCTTTAAGCATCACGAACCAGCTTCTACTTTAACTTGACATCTGGGATTGAGTTCACTTTTTTATTCATATACATTTTCCCATACTTCATCATGAGTGCCCTATACTACCTCATAAGGAGAAGCGTAAAACCAAGGTCCCTTTTCCAGCACGTCCAGCAGAAATGTGAGCTATTTCTGCTGTGAAGGAACTGTATTTGGCTGATAATTCCTTTATAAAATATACTGTATGGATGTTAGCATCAGGTCTAAAGGTTTCTTATCCATTTTCCTCCATTTTGCCACCATCTCCTCATTTTTTACAACCAGTAATCCTAACTCTGAGCCCGTATCTATCTCCGTCTCCAACAGTTCAGAAATCTGTAATGAGTAGGTCAGATCTTCAACTGGTGTAAACTTGCCTAGCTCCATTGACTACAATAAAGTGATACCAATTTACATCAGTTGATAATCTGGTTTAATTCCCCTCCCCCCTCCTCCCCCAGTTTTTAGAGTGTTTCCATCATATGTACACTAATAATTCAGGGCCTTTTCTACATCTCCAACATTTCCTGGAGCTCTCTTCTGCAAATTTGGCCAACATCCCTGGAATCAGAGAAAAATTATATTAATGATCTTCAATTTAAGCTATTTGAGAACGAAAAGGCTGCTTTTGCATATATGAGACCAATATTCTGTTCAGAATTGTCCACCAGTTCCTCATCCCACAGAATTTAATGTTCTGCAGGCGATTACTACCTCTACATAGGCTATTTAGGCCTTTTTGCCTCTTATTTCTTGGAAGCATCACCTCGTCATCTCCCCAGTTATATCCATAGAGGATCCTATTTTCCTGGATCTGGTTCTGCGTTGGAGGTATTGGAAATGTTTCTGATTTCTCCTTATATTTTACACATGACTTTTAGTTAGATGGAGGCTAAGACATTAGTCAGATTCAAATTGGGACTGGACATTTTATATAGATAACAAGTATATGCAGAGGTATTGTATTAATGCTATCAAAACAAGAGTTTTGGAAGGAATATAAAACCTCCTTCACCTGGGGCTCAGACAGTCTCTAACGATTAGTGGTTAGAAAGAGAGCATTATGGTGGGCATATTATCCTATGTCTGCCTACTGTGAGGTTACTTTCCCCTTCCTCCGAAGCACCTGGTGCTGGCTGCTCTTGAAAACAGAATAATGGACTAGACCAGTGGTTCTCAAACTTTTGTACTGGTGACCCCTTTCACATAGCAAGCGTCTGAGTGCAACCCCCCCTTATAAATTAAAAGCACTTTTAAATATATTTAACACCATTATAAATGCTGGAGGCAAAGCGGGGTTTGGGGTGGAGGCTGACCGCTCGCGACCCCCCCATATAATAACCTTGTGACCCCCCATATAATAACCTCATGACTCCCTGAGGGGTCCCGACCTCCAGTTTGAGAACCCCTGGACTAGATGGACCATTGGTCTGATCTAGTGTGTCTGATTGACCATATTACCAATTCCTTTCCAGAACTTTATGGAAAATCATACTAGGGTCTTCAGATAATGTGAGTCACTCTCTCCCCACTTTTTACAGTTTTCCTTCAGGATTTTATAGCCTGTATATTTGTTAAGGTCACTAAATCTTTGTTGTAACAGATGCTGGTCCATTTACAATACTGTGGTCTCTGAAAAAGACTTTTTTTCTACCTGGAATCATAATGGATTTTGGTTATCCTTTTTGAAGACCCATTGTAGCTGGTAATGAATGTGAAAGGCCAAGTAAGAAGGTTCCATCTTAGGAAACCCTGTCTGTATCTAGCTACACCTTTTAAATTCTAAACCTAGATCTCTTACACTTTCAGATGAAATGCATCAGGAGTTCATTGCCGTCTTTTGGCCACACTATAGGAAACATGCCCCTTATTGCCCTGAAGTAATCAATAGTTTCCACAGTGTGGACCACATCTCAGTGGAGAGATTGTCCGGTGGACACTTCCTCTCTGATTTGCAATCATGCAGATCACTGTCCATCTGCAGTTACATAGGCCACCTCGCTTCCCAAAATATCCTATGATCATTGCTTATGTGGAAAAGCATTAGTAGGAAAATATCTTTTAAAGTGTTTACATATCTGAAAGGAAAGATGGTCTTGTGGTTAAGACACTGGACTGCAACTTGGATGACCTCAGTTCCCTTCCCCGTGCTACCACAGATTGCCTGTGTGGTCCTGCGAAAGTCACTTTAACTCTCTCTGCCCCTGCTCCCATGCTATAAAATGAGGATATTAGTACTTACCTTGTAAGCTTTTGGAGACAGGGAGTGTATTTATGTGCAGCACCTACTGTCTTGCGACTGCTAGTGGCAGGTTGTTATATCGCCAATTTTTAGCTCCGTTTAGTGTGATTGAATACAAGTAAATCACACTGCCTTCTTTTGGTCTTCACTTGATCTCCTCCTCCTTTCAGTTATGTTTTATCTGGAAACAAAGAGCATGAGCCAGCACCATGTGACTAGCCAACACAATGTGTATCACCAGGGACTGCTCTGCAGACCATTGATGCGCCATAGCTGAGAATCCACTGCTCGTCCCCATATTGACAGTGGAAGGAGAGACACGTCTCTTCCAATCCTTCTGAGCTGGGTCCATAAGGGGCCTGCACTAGGGCTATATATTTTATTAACAGGTGGGTGTAACCTGACCCTCAGCTATCTGAAAGTGTGAATTTCTCCAAATAAATCTTAACCCTTTCAGTTTTGTTTTACCATATTTATAGTGTAAGGGCATCAATGTTGACATGCCCACATTCTACTGCATGCCAAATGGGTTGTTTGGGAATTTTTAATGTTGTTAACAGTTGATCGTCAGCCTCTGACCTTTCTTTGGCCTCTGTCTCCCCCAAATGAGTCCCCTCTGTGCCTGGGTGGTCTGTGAGTTACTGTGGCCGAGGGACACCTTTGTTATGTTTCTCTTTGAAGTGTCCTGCTCACCATCATTATCTCTGTTCCAGCTGTAGGCGTATTAAAGAACACTTTTGCCCGTTTTAGAAAAGTCTTCCCTATGCCAGGGGGCCCTGCTTCATTTTATCCAGTGCTTTTCCCACATCAGTCATAGAATTTGCCATAGCAACTGAACACAGCTTTATTTGCCATGTAATATTAAGGCCAGATCCTCAGCTGGTGTAAAAGTGACATAGCTTCATATGCTTCAGTGCATCTCTCACCAGATGAGGATGTGGTCTGTAGCATTTTCCTGGTATTTCCCTTTCATAGTCTCCTTAGTGTGGATGTTCTAGATAACTTAACCTCGATCCCACTAGTAACTAACTCTGCCAGCACCTTACAGCCACAGTTTTTTGTCATAGGGTTACTGATGATATTGGTCTGTAGCTTTCTCGCATATGAGAGGTTCTACGCCTGCTTTCTTTAGCCAGACGATGGAGGCATTACTCATGGTGGGAGGGAGCTGCCCTTCTTCAAAAGCATGTAGGAATTTGTATATATATTCAGTGTCACCAGGTCACTTTGTATTGTGGATTATTTGCAAGGGCCTAATTCATCTCTGTCTCAGATTTAGGCTGGTCAGGAGAATTTCTCGCCTAATGTATATAATTTAATTTTGCTTAGTGTGTTTGTTCCCTTGGGGCTTAGTTCTGTATGTCCCTAATGTCCTGAGTGATTGCTCCCAATTCCCTACACAGGACGGCTCCCTCGTTAGTCTTGGTCTATTATATATTTTTGCTGCAAGACTCTCCAAGCTATATTCATGTTAGCCCTTGCTCTAATGCAGTAATAACTTTTTGCACACCACTGAAAGAAACTTTGTAGCAGGACTGAATTAAGGCAAAGGCAATCTAGGCCAGTGCCTAGTGCCTCAGTGCCTGGTGTTACGTGATTACATCAGATTCTCAGCTTTCATTTAAAAAACGCGTAAGTTTTCAGCCATCATGGTTGCAAAGAATAGACTGAAAACATGATCTGAGTGTAACTGATGCAGAGATGTCTGAGTCTGCAGAGAGCCTGAAACAACAGCTCTGAGTAGATATAAGTGCACCACACATCTCAACACGGTGTTAACTCCAAGAACCACTGGTCTGGGAGGCTCCCAGATACCATCCCATCAGGGCGCTCTGTGCCTGACATGAGAAGAGTACAGCAGGCCCAGGCTACCCACCCAAGTGATATGCCCCAGCGGCTAGAGTACATGCTACTCCCCCTGGGCCCGCTGCCACTTTGCCTCTCCAGCAGGAAAGAGAGGGCTCTTGCTGCTGCTCCTGGTGGGGAGAAGGGGTCCCAATA